ATATTAAAAGAAAAATGTGGGTCTTCTTCGTATAAATTTTAACCATAAGTACTTAACTATGTAAGTGTCATTAACTACGACTGAGTAAAATTTATTTTTATTAAATTATTTATTATACATTATTATTTCAATAATAGATATTATCGTCAGCAGTTACGAAATAGGTCATCATTCAGCAATATTATAGATTATAATACATTGGAACTATAAATCATAAACGGGAATTATAAAAATTCATCTAATTTGCTTGTGAGTTACCCTATTCCCATCTGCACAATATTTTTAATTAATTAATACCAACTATCACTTAAATAAAATTGTAATAATTTATACAGTTAAATTAATATTATAGCGCTATCTAGCGGTGTATTTTAATCCGTTATATCAGTGGTTGATATAACGGTTTAAAATAAATAATTTGTTTACAGTTAATACATTTATAATATATACTAATAAACTAATTTATTACTAAATTAGTCATTACTCATTAGTGTTCTTATACTTAATATATTTTAAACTATATTTTACACTAAGTACTTAGTACTAACTAGAAACTTCCAACTTCTTAGCATAGACCTAACCACCTAGTATCTACTATAAATTATTATATTATACATCTCTATTCTCTACAGGCATAGGTGTAATTAGTGGTAAGTAGGAGCAGAACTGTATTAATGGCCAATGCCGTGGAGCAAATAATTTTTGCTACCCTTCTCCCAAACCAAAAAATATATTTATTTTTAAATTTTTAATTATGCATTTTGTGTAATAATAATCTAATAAGTCGTAAAAATATTGATTAAAAGTGAACAATCAACAAATGTTAGTATTACCTAATTTAATCAACATCTAACAGTGTATTTACGGGACGGAAAATTTGGGTGTCCTTATAACTACTTTAAAAAAAGATTGACACACCTCATTTATGTATTTATTTAACACTTATGTAAATAATACAAAAACCCGATTCCTCTATGTGGCTATACTATTATACTAGCTGTATACATAACTGAGATAATATTACCTCACAATAAAATAAATAGGTACTATTGCACAATTAATATATTATATTAAAATGTAACGTATTATGGCATGCAATATCACAAAGATACACTGAGCAGTCAAGAATTATTTAATCGCGAAGCGACGATGCACGTCAGCAACTTCTTACTTAAAAATTAAAATATATCGCTATAATGTCTATAACAATAATTATATGAGATTATTTAAATATTAAGTAGGTAATTATTTGTTCTCATATGTGCAGACAATTATACATACTTACATTATACCTATCAGTGGCTAAGATCACAACGATTTCATTGAGAGATGTTAACGAATTTACGATGCATGCAAACATTTTTTGAGGAAGTAATAGCTAAAATTTTCAAAAACACAAAAAATAATCCCCCTCCCTCCTACCAATAAGATATCTATAATAATTGATCGAAAAATGAAAATGGAAAATATAAAGGAGTAACTAAAATATAAAAGATCAACCCGTAATCGTAGGTATACTCGTAAATGTCATATTCTTTCGATAAACGGAATATAGTTGTTAGTAAGTTGTTTTATAAATCTGTGTTAGATTCACAACTATATAAATGTTAAACTTAACTCAAACTAGACAAAATATCAGAGTTGTTAACAATAGTTAATAAAATTAATATATGAAATTTATAAAAAAATTATAGTAAAATTCTATTCTGGTACTTACATGGACTTATATTTCGGTATCCAGTGAGATTATTTTCAATGAAGGAATTATTTTTTATTGATATTTTTTCCAAATATCTCTACACATCAATTATTTTTTAAGTTAACTTAAAAAAACTAAGTAATTACAATAGACAATTAATCTAATTAAATTATTAAGTTTATTAAAGAATTAACTAAGTAACTAAATAACTCAGTTTGAAAGTTTAAAAATAAATACGCCATAAACTATTTAAGTTTATATCAATCAATAAAGTTTTTAAAAGTGTTATCATTGGGTGTTTTCTTTTATCAAGTATTCATGTAATTTTATTAATTTAGCAATTTAGCTAATACTATTATTATAACTATTACTTATTAGGAACAAATTGTGTATCTATACATCAATAAAGAAACAAAAAAAAATAAAAAATATTTATCAGTATAATACAGATAATAAGTACCTATCTACTAAATTGACATATTTTTATTAACTTTTTAATACTACAAAATCAAAGAATTGCTTAAAGTTTTAATATAAACCATACCCTTTTCTCTCATAAAAAATTTAACAATTAGGTCTACTATGATTCTAAAATATCTCCATGTTTTCAGAGAACCAAGATTATAGATCAATATTATATAATATTACCTATATTCAAATGAGAACTCGCCTTTTTTACAATGAATTAAAATGATAATTTTTCTGAAAATGTTGAAGTGTCAAAATCAAAATTCAAATGAGTATTTTTTGAGTTATTTAAATTTGTGCACTGCACTAAGGATAATAGGTTCATGATAATGGACTTAAAATTTTAAACTTAAGAAGATATACCTAAGAGTTTTGGTGACTTAACATTTTAGCATAGATTAAATTACACCATTATTTAAGTTATAATTTTGGTACCTAATCTATATATTATTATTAACACACAAACACTTTTTTTTTAGTCGTACCAATAACAACTCCACTTGAATACATAATAGCGGAAAAACAGCTAATATATCATTGAGAAAGTACTGTGGAGTAGTTGGCAGTTGCACAAAAAAAAAAAGTCATGGACGATAATTATATTGCCATAGCAGGTAAAATACAAAAATGAAAATACAGCAGTAGCGCCATCTAATCAGTAAAATTACAACTAAAAATAATTTTCTGTTAGGTAATTTTCAAAATAATAGTAAAGTTAATTTAATTTAATTTAAGTTAATAATTATCTGTAATTTATGTGTGCATTAGAAGCATTTTCGATAATCGATATCCGTCTTGTAGTAGGTACTAAGTATATACACCCAATACTCAAAACTAAAATACAAAATACCTATTTTTTTCCCTTATAAAATGTGTATACGAATAAAAAGAGAAGCACAAATTCCAATTTCAAATTATAAATAGGTTAAACAAAACCTGATTTAGGAATTTTGAGGTCTTAGGCATAATAAAAATTTTTATCTCTACTAGTCAACTGTAGCGTATCTCTGCTTCTCTTCCACCCAGACTCATGAGTAATATAAAACAAATTGATAGTTACAATTTAAAATCTTGGTCACTCGATTACTTACAAATTTAAACTGATTGATTACACCAAGTAATTGTTTTAAATACATTTACTAATTAGTCTTTTTAAACTTACATTTTTGCAAACAAAATCAAAGTCTTTTTTATATCATTAATTATAAAAAAAGTAAGCAAGTGTGTACTGCTATGCTATATATCAAGTCTAATGGCTCATGGTTCACTATTATGGGCGTGTTAAATTTGAATTCAATAATATATCAATATCATTATTTATAAAAAACGATGCTGAATAAAGTGTCGGTCTGTCAAGTGTCAGCCTACCTACATTAGCTACATGCCTATTGCCTACACGGCTAGGTACATCATTAAGTAGGTACCTATATTAATTCATGATAAGTTTTTTGATGTAGCTAAAATAATAGATAAATATACAATATTTCTGAAATGAATGAGGTCACTAGTATACGCGTACTCACTGTAATGGCCCAATGAAAATATTTTTGAAATTTTTTTCTATCTTCAAAATTTGAATTTTTTCATATTATCTTAAATGTAAAAATAAACACTCTAATTGTATTTTTTGAAAAATTCTCATACACATCGAGACGTCATATCGTTTTTGAGCTTGTTGCGCGTTTTTCACGCTCGAATCGCCGACTAAAAAAAAAGTTGAGTCACACATCGATTTGTATGAGGACGCTACAAGATTAAAACAATGGTATACTGGTATATTATTATAATATTGTTATTAACATTTAAATCATTACCACTTTACTATAAAACAGTGTGAATAAGTTCATGGCATAAACAGATAAATAATATCTTAAAATTAATCTTAACATTTTTTTAAATTTCATTCTCGATTCCGTATAATTAATAATATACACAAAAGTTTTAAGATAATTATAGATTATGGTTACAATACAACTATTTTAATAATAATGTATGAATAAAAATGTTCGTTTTTCCGATTATTTTGAAAAATACTGGCATTTTAAAATGTTGACCACTTTAAAGTAAATACTTTTTTTTTTCTTTCGTATACTGAACAATAAGCGATAATGCCAATATTAGTTAATATTACTCTATTAACTTTTATAATTTGTAAAAACATCGTAGCATAACAAACTCTAGATTCATTAGTAAATCTATATCCATTTTATATTTTTGTAAAACCACTTTTAAGGACTTTAATCCACATTGCTTAAATATTGTAATAACTGATAAATTATTCATTCGAATTTTTAATTAGGTGCATAGATGTTATTAAAAAATATATACACTATTATCATTCAGAGATTTTCATTTAAAAAACAGATGTTTAGTATCGTCTCAGGACACTTCTCGAGTAACAAAAAAATCTTGAGAATTTGAAAATAGAAAATATAGTCTTTAAAATATATTCCATAAATCAGATTTTGAATAACTATTAATTGTATTAATAAAGAAAAAGTGCGGGTGAATGTACTTGATAAAGCACTTTATTTATTACGTGTGTAGTCACAATCCAAGGTCCAAGGGATCAGATTTTGCTTTTTTAATTGTGGGATTTTCAAAAATACGTCCGAGCCAGTTGCGGCGATGGCGATGCTACTTTGAACAGTTTGAACTCTTTGAAGTCAACATTCTAGAGCGTCTACAGAAGTACAGCCTGTGCTATAATTAATAATTTTGGCCCAAGACAATTATTATCAATTATCTCTTATCAGATTAAAACCAATGGGTAAGTCGGGCGACTATGAAGTACGGAATAACAACAAAATATTATCTCACATATCAACACTCAATAGTTGATAGTGTTGTTACTGTCAAATTTTGAATCTTAAATAAAATATGTGTTATTAATATTTGTATTACACGAGTCACCGGCCAATAAATGGCGATTTTTAAATAAATTTTGTTTGTTTGTACTATTGAGTTACACAACAGTCCTTTATTACAATTTAAAGACGGTGAAATAAACCATTATCATATAATTGTGTGTAAGTACTGTTTCCATTTGAAGAATTTAAATTTTCATGTATAATTCATTATAATTTACAAAACCTGTATGGCTATTTAACCATGTAAGTGTACAAAATATGTAGTTGAGTAAACTTGATTACTTTTACGGCTATACCAACGTTATGATGTCAATATAGAATCTATTTACTACCTTGTTGATTTTGTTAAAATAGTTCTCTCATATATTAAAGTCAATATACCTTTTAAATGATAATAAATAAGAATTATGTAAAAACTTAATTTATAGAAAATTTTATTCCATTTAAAATATACTATGTAACAAATTTAAATTTTCTTGTATGTAAACGAGATATGTATAAAAATGTAAAATATATCATTGAATTATGAAGGAATTAATAAACTCAAACTTAAAATTCTAGTTGGCATAGGTTAGCTTTAATAGATTAAATTGAAATCTTTTGTAGCTTATTTATTAATGCACGTACGTAAATCCAGAGAGTGAGGCTTACAAAAATGCAAAAAAAATTGACTATAGTTAATTAAAGAGACACTAATATAGGTAGCATATTTTAAAAGTATTATCATTGTATAACATTTTTAATCATTTTAATTTAATTAAAAATGTCTATCATATTTTAAATTTATATAGGTAATTAGTAAATTAATAAGGTGTAGTATATTAGATTACTATAGATATCATAGAAAAAACCAATGATATCAGAAAGAATAAATAAATTCTTCCATTATTTTATTACATTACTGGCATGGCGAAGGGTAATTTCAGAGGCAATTGCCTCTGAAATTTTCAAGTTATGGGGGGTTGGGTATCGCGATTCACAAATAGATTATGCACCCGCTAATTTCTTATTATATAATTTAATATAATCTTATACATCAACAATAATGGTTATATAATAATGCGTCTAAAAGGATTTTTTTTGAAGCCACCTCCTCCCCAACCCTATTTGCGTTTATAGTAGTGGGGAGATGGGTCCTTGGGCTATATTTATTGCCTCTGGAATAAATTCAATACACCACGCCACTGTATTATATTATTATAATAACCATTATTTCATAATATTAATATATTACACAATATAATTTTGTTTTAAATTTTTTTGTATTTTTTTTTTTAATTATTTACTAGCTAAACTAATCAATATTAAGATTTTAAAACTATTTTAGATTATGTTTATAATTTTTTTTTCTACTTTTATAAAGAAAACCATCTAAAAACATTAATAATTAATAAATTTCTTATACCTACTTTTCTAAAATATCATTTTATTATCATATTTATTTATTATTAAAATAATTTCAGAAACAAACTATGGCAATGACGAAATCAATAATTGATACAACTGTTGCTGGTAAAGAAAATTCAGACGAACTGGTAATATTTTTATAGAAATATACCTAATCATACTTTTTTTAAATATGAAAAATAGAAAAAAAAATAATACACCAAATAACTATATACCGTCATATTTAGTTTTATATTTAAACTTTATTAGTGTAAATACTTATATTAGCGATTAAACTTTTATTTTTAGACTCTTTTAATTAGACTATTCAAGTCTCTATTTTGTATACAACCAATTATTGAAAATAATGCTGAGGTTATTAGTATAATTAATACTACACAAGAACTAATTATAAAAAAAGGCATGATTGATCCAGAATCTCAAGTAAGTCATAAAATAATTATTACAAATATTTTATTGAAAAATTGTATATTTTGTTACATGCATAGAAATCTTTAACCAGCTTTTATGAAACAGCTGATCTAGAAACTATTAGAGAAGAAGAAACACTTAGAAAAATGTTAGAAATAATATATGAAATACGAAACATAAGACATCAAAAAATTAAGGTAGACATAGATAATATAAAAGTTAAAACAGTTTTAATATGTTATTTGTACATTTAGTCACTTCTGCAGTCTCAACGAAGTTCGACATTTCTTAAATTGTTACAAGTAACAGCAATGAGAATACCAGTGTGGTTTCCAAAACATGATGAACAACCACCTCCATTGTGTGGTGCTATTGAGCCACTTCCTTCATATGTTGCAAAAGTATATAAAACATATTTTTATTAAAATATTTGTATAACTTAAATAATTTATAGAGTGGGGATTTGGTGGCAGCGCTTGTTAAACAATCTGGAGAAGAGCGATGGATTGTAGCAGAAGCAGTTGCATTTAAAAATGGAAAATATGAAGTAGAAGATATTGATGTGAAAGAAACTAACCGTAATTTTACATTAGAAAAAATATATGTAAAGCCATTACCTCTAATGAGAGCTGATCCAGTCACTTGTCCGGATGCATTCTTTCCCTGTAATGAATTCGGTTAGTATATTTTTATTTTATAGTAGCAAATTAATTGTTATTTTTAATTTTTGGATAGAATATCTTAATTGATCATAGAGTCAAATTATTTATTCACAAATGAAGTTTTTCTGAAGACTATGTCAATTTATTACATAATATATATTTCAATATTTGTATCATGTATAATTAATTTAATTATTATTATATAGTTTTAGCAATGTATCCACAAACCACTTGTTTTTTCAAAGCTCTAGTGAAAGCTTCACCTAAAACAAGTTATGATGGATATGAAGTTTTATTTGAAGATGATTTCAATCAATATACCATAATGATGGTTGTATCCCAAAGATTTGTAGTTTCATATCCATCACTAGAAATCCTTCATAAAGATGACGAGATGATAGTAGAATATTAATTTTATATAATATTAGCTTATCAATCTAACTAAAATAAAATCTATATAGTGTTTTATATAGATTTTTCATTAATAAAATTTTATGTCATTGGATAATATCTTGTATTTTATTTTATATTAATATGATACTCTTCTAATCAACATTAAATATACACTATTTTTTTTATTTTTTTAATAATAGTAGTGCAGTTATTGATCAGGAGAGTTAGAGATTTAATCCCCTCCTCTCCCAGTCTCACCATCACAACATGACCTTTTTCGTGTAGATCAGAAATGTATTATTTCATTTTATATAATAATATTGCATTATGATAACAAAGAATTGTTAAATCCTGCCTATAGAAGCATTTTGGATTGTTGGTATTATAGCTTTCTATGATGGCTACATATCATATATTGTAACAATTATATAAATTTGAATATAGTTATTCTTAGTACGTCAGTCACAGCTGAACTATCAAAATCTGCATGGAAACTTTTATAATGTGTAACTCACTCTTTCACTTATATTTCCTTCTATTAAAAAATATACTATATAGCTATATTTATCATGACTAGAGTAACCAGTGAGAAGTCTTTTTAAATCTTAAGACATACCTTAGAAATATTCATGAAAAATACTAATTGAATCGTTAAGCAGTATGAAATAATACTATCAATCAAGTCCTTCATGAATTTGCTAGTTTCAAGAAGAATACGATTAATATAAACAATATGTAAGTATACATAGAATACATATTACATATATATATATATATAAAGGAAATTGTAACTTCTACTTTTTATTAAAATATATTAATTATACATAATAAAAGTTATTCTGTTCATTTTGAATTGTTGTCTATAATAATATTAATTAATAAATAATATCATCTATACTTTTTTTTTAAGTTGAGAATCATACTCAGCCACCGACTTGTGTGCAAAACTATGGCATTCTTACATGGGAATTGTATAGGCATTTAACTTAATAGAAGTGATATTCTGGTGTTGCATGACTGCTGCCTGATTAAAATAAATTTCTGCCAGTTCTTATCTTGAATACCCGAAAATATAAGTTTAAGGTCGAGAATCACATGTAAACAAACACAAATCAGCATTTAAAATTCTACAAATATATAAATAAACTATAAAAGAATAACCAATCATATTTAATCAGTGAGAAGCAAAAGAAATTTAAACAATTTAAATATTTTTGTTAACAATTTCAAATAACCTATCAACAATAAATTTAGAAATATTGTTTATAAGTTGAAATAACTTTAATATATATTTCAAAAACAACTAATACAATACAATATTTAGTCTTATAAATTAAATTATATTGGTAATATAAATGTTATAATTTATTCATTTTATGAGTACTAAATATAATTAACATTTCAATAGCATAAAAGCAAGGTATACAAGTATACCCAACATAATTTTGTGTAATATTTAAAAAACACATTTACATATATAGCCTTTTTTTTTTTTTAAATTATTTACATTATATGAATGAATTATTGACAAATCTAAGTGCTTTTTATTTATTATTTATGCAAATACATGGTGTGTCACTATATATATATATATATATTACATAGTGTTTTAGTTTAAATACCCCAAGTAAAATAATAAGCATAACTTAATTAGTTATAAATTAAAATAAAATTTAACAATAAAGAACTAGAACAATACAACAGAATAAAGAATATGATTATATCATTATTATAAATAGAATAGTAAATATACATATTTATTTAATATGTCATTTTTTACAAATGGTTTATTTAAAATTTATATTATATCTGGTTGTTGTGGAATAAGAGAGGTAAAAAATGTACTAACTACTGTCCACAATGTAGTTATTAGACGTTCATTTTGTCTTACTGCTGTTTCTTCAGTATTTCCATTCTGCTCTTGTGACAAATTTCTGTTGTCATCAACATGCTGTTCTGGTTGATCAGGCTGAAACCTTCTTCTATTATGGTCATTAATGTGTCTCAAAATACCACTTTGGTATCTAAAAATAATTAATAAAGTTACGATTTATAAGTGATAATGGAACTAACATTATTTTATCAAAATTAACAATTAAAATAAACCCAACATATATATATATATATATATATAAATATATGCTATATTGTTAAAACTTAATTTAAAATTTAAATGCAAATGTCAAACTTACAAATATAAAAGAAGTGCAAAGCCAGCAACAACAATAAAACGACCAGGCGATGAATAGAAATAGAGGACACTAATGAAAATAAAAACTCTACTAGATACATATAACCAATCTAACCAATCTTGATTTGGCCCAGCTTCTTGGGCATTTATATTTGCATTATTAGCAGGTACATTATTTTGATCAGCTGGTTGATTGTTGTTATCTAGTATTAAAATATTTAACATATATTAATTTTTTTTCAAATTTTAAATTGTTTTCTATAAATATTTATTACTGTTATTATTTGGCAAATCTGGAGGAGATTCATTTTCAACGATTGGAGTATTCAATTGTATAGGAGCTCCTAAACTTGATGCAACTCTGTAAAACATGAAATTGAATTATTTAAAATATAAATAATTATTAATAAATTAAAATTAAATTACTTACGATTGCCAATATTCTGCCATTTGAACAGCATACATTTTGTTAATCCACAATATTTGCTGAAGAGCTATTTGCTCTGGTGTTAATGGAACACGATTAATATTATCATTAAATTTGGTTTGGTTTTGTGTAGATTTAGTTTCTTGTTTATTGTTAGAAGTACTAGTTTCTTGATGAGTTCCTTGATTTGTGTCAGCAGAGGTGTTAATTCCAGACGTACTAGCACCATAGTTAACTTCATTTACCTTTGGGCATTTATCATGGATTTCATTTACAATTTCGTCACTTTTGAGTTTTTCTATAAATAATTAAAATAATGTATCATCAAAAATGATTAAACAATAAAAGAAACCTAACAGCTAACAAAAAAAAAAAAAAATGATTATATAAGTTGATATAGTAAATTAGAATACAGAAGTTAGTAGAAATATTTTAAATTAAATTAATTCAACTAAAAATGGCATACAACCTATAGACTGTTACAAACTAATACCTGTGGCTTGGGCGCTTGACAAGTTGGCTGCTTCCAGTTGCGGAATGCAACTGGGAGTAAGTAACTGCCACAGCTACTAGCTCCCGGATGGGTGACCACTCGGAATCATAGTGGTTAAAAACCTTGCCACACATACATGTGTTTGCTATCAACCGTAACAATCGTAAAAATACAACCTACCGTAACAATCGTAAAAATACAACCTACCGTACCAACCTTACCCCCTACCATAGTTCATAACCCCTACAAACAGCTAATGGCCCTAGTTGCCGGGCTTAAGTTCAATAAAAACAAAAAAACTAATACCTATAATAATTTGTATTTTAAATGTATAGCATACACTCTGTATTTTTCATTAAATATAAAATAGTTAGTTAACCTTAACAAGAGCATAATGACAAGTGACAGCTGCATAGATTTAAGTTGATAGGTGTTAATACCTAATTATGGTAATAATATATGACACATTAGTTATTTGCTCGGATTAAATGAAACTTGAGCTGCAATTGAAATCCAAAAGTTCACCATGGGCCACAACCAAAAAAAAAAAATTAGTAAGAGAAAGATTTGATAACGCTAAGGAATGAGTTTGTTCAACAGCAACAAATTGGGAACGAGTCTAGATCTGCATGATAAGAGTCTTGGAATAAACCTACTTCAAAAAACCTACATTAAATAGACTGCGAATAGGCCATAATTGATATTGGGCTCAAAGATATAGGATTTTTGAGAAAACATAGCCTGTGACTGTGGTAATAGACAACTATATTGTAATAGATTGTAAAAACAGAAAATTTTGCACAAAGATTTGAGGGTTACATATAGTGACACTAGAAGCAGTTAACTAGTTTAAAGGCCTTGACAAACATCTTTGGTAAGTCGTATCTTACCATAAAACATTTTTTATATTTATATATTTTATTAATATTTGTAATTTATTAAAGTTGAAAAAGAAATACATTAATCTATGTTATGTTATTGTATTTTTTTTAGTCCTGTTAACTAAGTTGATTTAAGTATAGAGGCATACAAAATAATTAAATAAATTAGAAGTCAAATATTAAAACCAGTATACTTAATTTAAAAATATAATTTAATTTTAATTTTAATTACATATTTAGTAATTATTTACCTTTATTTGGGATACAACAAGACGAAGATGAACATACTAAATGAACAGTGCGATTAAGTTGTCCGTCTTCGTCATATGGTCTCAAAATATCTTTCAGAATAATACTGTCAGTTAAGAGTTGACCAGAATATATTAATCTTTGGTCTTCTGTTTTCTGAAGAAAAAAAAGATAGAATATATTTTATTTAACAAATTATAATAGTTTCACTTCAGTTTCATCTTAATTAACAAGAAAATAAAATATAAAACACTTACTGGTTTATTTGGATAAGTTTCATGAATGTACCCTTTAAGTTTAGCCACTGACCAATCCAATTTACATTTTATTGTGTGGTCATTGATTTGTTGATTTGGAGCTTTTATGGTTAGTGTGATCCAAGGATCTGTGAAACCAATGTCCATATTTTTTTACCTAAAAAAATGAATTAGGTATTAAATAATGAACACAATTAATTAATTGAAATCTACATATCTACTAATTATAAATACACTTACTATAGATGTACAACTATAACTTAAAAGATTAAAATACAAAAATGTATGATTTTTTTCAAAACAGCGCAATTATTTATTATTTAACAAATAATATCGCCTAATGCCTAAACAGGAATATTATGAGTTTATACCTATAATATACAATTTTCTATTCCTTTCACTATCAACATTATGCTATCAACTATTTGGCTCTTTTTTATTGGTCGGTGGATGAAAAAAACTTATCAAGGTACTGCCCACCAACAATTTACCAATGATTTTATTTCAGTTATCGGTATTTATTATTTAAATAAGATAAAAAGTAAAAACATTCAGTACTTATTTATCTTAGTGTTAAGAGTTAAGGCTTCGAAGTTTGAAAGGCCATCTTTTTACTCCGTAGTAAGTCGTAATTTGGTTTATAAAGAAGTTATGTATATTAAATTATATATGTTTACATTAAAAATCAATAAAATTTATTATAATTATTTTAATATTTTACAATTTTGATCGAGTTTGAAGTGGCCAGCTACTCAGTCATGGAATTTAAATGTTTTGTCACTATGATGATGCTTTAACTTTAATTGTGTTCAGCTATTAAATTTAAATATGAGTTTTTGGCGAGAAGCTTCTAGTGTAATGCTACTGACAAAATCTTCTAATATAAAGAATGTCTATTGGGATCCGTTCAAAATATTATGTATTAAAAGAAGTGAAATAAACTCTTACTTACCCAATTATACAGTCTTTCCAGGGGGGGCTGCAGAGAAATCAGACTCTTCTCCAGAATGGACCGACATTATTCCAGATTATGCCAATCCTAATTTAAATTTGAATATAATTGGCTACAGCGGTATGACTTTTTATCATCCACATAACTTTAGTAGATGTCAAAATCATTGTTTAATATTATTTTTCTTAGGTAGCCCAGCTATCAAATTTGTATCTGACAATGAGCCAGGTTCTATACCAAAATACTTATCGCTTAGAGTAACTGCTATCAGAGAAACATTTGAAGAAAGTGGTATATTGTTGTGTAAAAAAATGAACTGCAGCTATCCTGAGACTTGTGCAACAGTCCATCATTTAGATATTGATAGCATTGACAGATGGAGAAAATTAGTTCAGAAAAATGCATCTAATTTTATCAATTTGTGTAATGAAAATAATTGTTATCCTGATGTTGGTGCCTTGCATTTATGGAGTAACTGGTTAACATCTCCACTATTAAAGACAAAATTTGATACAAAATTTTTCCTCGCTTTTATTGAATCTCCAGTGAATGCAAGTCCTGATGGTGTTGAAACTTCTCAAATAACAGTGAGAACCTATTAGATTTAGTATTTAATTATAGATTTAAATGTCTGGTGATTTCACAGATTTATTTTTGTATTTAGTGGAACACACCAGATGAAATGTTATCAAGATTCGTTTCTGGTGAAGAGAAACTTGTAACTCCTCAATATTATGAACTTTTAAGATTAAAACAATTTACATCATTTTCAAAATTAACAAATTTTGCTTGCACAAGAAGTGTTGAAGGGTGTGAACAAATATTACCAATGGTTATTGCAACTAAAGACGGGTACTTGACTTTACTCCCAGGTAAACTATTTAAATAATTTATTTGATAATTTAAAATTGAATAAACCAATTTCTAGTTTATAAAAAGGCATAAAAGTTATATTACAGTAACTAAATACATATAAACAAATTGGTATATTAATATATTATCATATTTGTATTAGTTTGTAATTTCTATTAATTTTTAACACTTCATAAAAAGCTCATGCATAGAAATTATATGAGTATTGATTTTTCTATATTCCTCAAAATATGATCTTTAGAAAAAATGTACAAACTAATTTTGTTTACAAATAAGAAAGTAATTCTAAAATTTGTATTTTTAATTATATATATTTTAAATGTTATGATTTTTGATGAATCTACTAAATAATATTACTATGAAAATATTGTATTAATTGTAACATCAGTAAAAATAACTATATGTTTATTGTGCATTTAAATTTTCTTTTTTAGGAGATGGAAAGTTTAATAATTCTGGAAAATATTTAGAAATACAATATGAATTGGATAAACATATGCAAGACTTTGACTCTAATGTGATGCATAGATTACATCATACTGAAGAATATTTACCAAAAAAAATAATAATTAAAAATTATACACCTAAATGTAGACATGTATTGCCTACAACCCTATCCAATTGTAAAATTTAAAAAAATAAGGTATAATAGTTTATTATTAATTGTCAATATAATATGTCGCAGTTGACCATAATTGATTTGCAAAATATTGTTTTATGCTACCAAACTTTGATCTCTACTAACCCTGATCAATCAACCAAATTTTTGTTTTCATTTTTTTTTGTTAATTATTCTATTGAATTATTTAGTTTTTAGTAATTTTAATTTGTTCAACATTTTTTTATTTAAGATAATTTATAAATAATAAATGTACATAAAAATGTATGTTATTTATTCATAATATTGAAATAATAATAAAATATGTTGTTATATTGTTCATTAAAAAAACTATTAAACATTGATTTTAAATGAAAAGATGTTAGGTATAATATTTTAACATGTTATGTATTAGATCAGTTATCAAATTGTATAATGTCATTTTGATATGTTGAAAAATGTCATTACAACGTTGTATTATTTTTTTTTTTACGATGGGATACCAATTAGCATATTATTTTTTGGCGTACAAGTAGGTGGTTCCAATTTTGAAAGTGTCACATCATAACCAACTTCTATTGCTCTGGTTGCACGATCTTTATCTACTGCCGCCATGCAAGTATAACCTTGTTGTGTTTTTGTACAATTTGGATCAAAATGAGTTTGATCTGCACAATGACACAATACTAAGTAATCTTCAAATGAGAAATTAGCTTGTCTCAATGCTTGACTTCTTGGATATTCCAAAATATGATTATCCTACAAAAATCATCAAATAATTTATAAATATGTACATTTTTAAAGTTATAAAAACTCACTTGGACACCTCCATAACAACAAGGACATACAACAAATGCTGCATTTTGTTGTAGACACTTTTCTAACACCAAATCTGTAGCAACACCACATCCATGTAAACATAAACCTACCTAATAAATATAAAATTTGTATAATTAAACTTAAATTGAAAAAAAAAATTATATTAAAAAAGTTTTACCTGGAAATTTGCTTTAAAATAGTCCAAATTAGAATGCACAATCATAATGTTTTTTAAATCTAACTTTTCAATACGCTCTCTAGCTCTTCGTAATGACTCTTCTTTATTGTCAACCAATATTACTGTAATGTTTGGTACAAGATAAGCAATTGCAATTCCTAAATGTCCACTCCCACAACAGAAATCTACTACTACATCACCATTTTTAACAACCTATAACAAATAAGCAGTTAATATTTCCTCATTCAAAAGTTTACATTTCCATACATTTAATGTAGAATGAATAAGATTTTCCAATTGTTGTGTTTTTCTGATCAATCTTTTATCAGGTATATCTCCACCAGATGGACGAACTTCATAAGGTAATTCTTCCCAGTCGATAGGACACAAATTATTAGAGCTCAAATTTATATTGATATTAATGGTATCAAATGCTTGAATAATATCTTGTACATTTTGTTTAACATATGTTTTTGCTCGTGGATTATATCGGCGTACATCACATTTATATAAAGAATGAAGTGGGACTTCAGGCAAAATTAGATTTTTTGGCAATTTAACTCTATCAAAAATTATACATTCCAGATAACTACCAATATTCAAGCGTTCCAAAACAGATTTGTACCATTTTAAAGTTAAAGGTAAAAATGTATCCATTGTATTTTCCCCTAGCAATTCATAAGCAATATATATATTTGGAAGTATCAGTACATCTGAAAGTGTTGGATTGTCTTCATCTGCAAATCTTTGAGTAGGATGGAGTGATTTTTCATTTAAACGTTTATTAATATTGTGTATTTGCAATGGCTGAGATAAATGACATTCAAATCGAGCCAGTTGTATAGGAATCAAATATGTGGAGTTTTCATCAAGCATCTGATAATCAAAAAACGTGTTTATTGATGCCTGCAATTGGACTTCACAATATTTTGTCCACGATGATACTTCAGCACAAGCAGATAAACAACTTTGCCTAAAACCAAGCAGCCAAATCCAATTTTTTTGAATACTTTTAATAAGCTAAAAAAAATGTGACATTAAATTTTAAAATAAATTTGCTAGTTGTAGCATCTATTACTAGATAAATACATACCATTCGTATTGATGAACAAAACCCAGCAGTACAATAATATCCATTGTCACTTTGAAATACTGGCAATAAACAATCTGCTGCTGGTCTAGGTAAATCATTTTCTAATATAATTGAATAACATAAATCATTGATGGAGAATTTAAACTTAATGTGTTCATTCTCAATGTTTTTAGGCACAACAAGAATAACTGGAGCTTTAACATATTGACAAACAAATAAAACAATTGATGTTTGTAATGAACATATAACATGTCCATTGGTTTTATCAAAATCAATAATATTAACAAATAAGGAAGACATTTTACTCAGTGTAAAAATTGATTTAATTTTTAATTTGTACAGAATGTGCTGTATAATGTATTGTATACACAACTATACAACAGAATCTAATTGTTTTTGTATTCTTTTCATTAACTTTTTATGGAACTGCTTTTTTTTGTATTGTATAACAGATAAGCTGATTACAGCAATCACAAATTGTGAGACTTGAAATAACCAAAATTCTTTTTCTGATGTTTGTATAGTTGGTTTGCTGCAACTATAAATTAAAAAAAATAATTATACATACAATTTAATAATAAATATAATACACTGATTATAACTAATGTACTTATGATAGAAAAAACAACTGTTTATAATAATTTATGTAATCATGATGTATTTTATTAATATCAACTGGAAGGAGAAATATTAAAAATTAATAATAATTAGTAGAACATTTGATAAATGATTTCCTTATAAACTTAAGAATAACACACTGAATGGAGACAGACTCACAATATTTACATTTATTTTTTTTTTTTTAATTTAATTGAGCTGGACTAAGATTATTACAGTTAACATTAAGCTATGATTTTAAGTTTTTAAATATTAGTAAACACATACTTTCTATATGCTAGTCCAGAAATTTTGCATTCAATTGTTTCAATATAACTCGCATTAATGCATTCAGGTCTATTAGAACACAAATGACATTCTTTCAGAATTGTATTTTCTTCTCGCAACCAACATTTATTTGACGAGTTTTTATGATCTTTTATGCTTTCAGATGCCTCTGTTGCAATAGTGGCATTGAGTCCAGACAATGCAGTTGAAGATGTAATTCTTATAAATATTAGTAGTGTAATCCTAAAAATAGTAAATTTTAGATTAAACAACTTAAATAATTTATTATCACAATAGAGATTATGAACAAGGCTTGTTTGATTAAAATTAAAATTAAATTAATTAAATAAAACATTGAACGTACAGTTTAGAAAAAATCAAATAGCTGTCAAATTAAATTCGTTTTTATTATTAATTAATAAATATGTTACAATATATTTACCCTCCGATGAATATAATTAATAATAATAATCTTTTAACAGAACAAGATTCTAAAACCATTTTACATTTTTAATAATCACGAAATAGAATAGATAAAAAATATCAAATATTCTGGCACAGGTAGTAGATATTTTAACTAGTTACAAGTTACAACATATAATCAGTGGTCAGATTCTTATTATATTCGAACTACGACAATAGAAAAATTAAAAACAGATTTAATGATATTGGGTGAATGGTGGCTTACAAAATGAAATTTTTACAAAAATACGGTATCAGCTTATCATTAAACTACAAAACCATTTCAATAATTCTGTGCTTCCTTCGTGGCGCTAATGTTAAATGTATATCGGCATGTTATCACGAAATGAAGTTGAAAATGAAGTTTATATCATTCGTTTGTGAATTTGTGATATCAATAAAAAATAAAGATAGTAATTAGTAGGATTAACAGAATTATTCTGTTCTGTAATCTGTAGTGTAAAAGCTTAAAAAGTTTAGATGATTTCAAATTTAGTCATATCTACTCATAATTTATAGCTAGGGCTGGGATTTATATGTATTATGTAATTGATAGCTAAAAAAAAATATGTACTTATACGTATTACTTTATGTAATGAAAATAACCAAAATATGTAGCAAAAAATAAAAAATGCTATTCTGTATAAATTTTGAAGAAATAATTCGTTGTTTTTAATTTTTAACCAATTCAAAATAAGACTATGGCAAATCATAAAATGTATTAAATTTTCAAAGTTAAAACTACGACGATCTACATAATTTTATTAATGCATACTAGCTTCGTGGCTGTTATTTCACATTTTCACTAGTTAAAAAATTGAACTCCATTTGTGTCTTCATTCATAATACCACAAAGAATGTTTCTTATGTATTTAATTGTCTCCAGTCCTGAATTTTTTTTCAAAGCTACTTTAATTTTATTCTTTGATGAATCAGCTGTTGGACTCTCAGATTAATTTTTGAAATTAATAAATCAATAATTTTTAAGCTCTCGCTTAACGAAATCTTGGTATTATTTTAGCTTTGATATTGATTTACCTGAAAAATTAAAATTAAACGATATATTAAAAAACAGATTTTATATTAAGTCTCTGAAAAATTTCTTTTTCCTTAGAAATTGATGATGCGTATTCAGAATCTAACATAATACTATTTTATATAATAATAATAATTTACAAAATGTGTATCAATAAATGCTATATCTTTATATACTTACTATTTTTATGAGTAGATACCTACTATTATTGAAGTAAAACTTAAAAGTATACAACTAAACTTTGACAATGTAAATTGACAAGTTCTTTTAATTTTTTGCATTATGAATAAAATTTAATGTAAAATCATCTTATTTTATTGCAAATCACACAAAAATAATTTATCATGTTTTAGTAAAAATATTTATTTACTAATAAAACTTAACCTTAGTTATAACTAATAACATCTATCAAATAAAGCTAAACAAAAGAACATACTACTATTATTTGTTACTGGGTACTTAATTCAAAAGTATTTACAACATTTACGTTACTATCTACATCTAAGCACCAAATCTAAACTAATAGTATAAATTAGGATTTTTATTAATTTTTTTGATTTTCACTAATTACACATTTTACACCAATACATAAATCATATTATATTAACCAATCGTAACTAAGATATAAAATTGCAATTATTAATCTGATATGTTTACAACATAAATATATTCTATAATTCTGGTTTAAAACCAGATTAGTGATTATGGTTGACATCAATTAAATATCATGTCATATTAAATAAATTAATATTTTAATTTATACTAAATCTTAAAATACTCATATACATTATTGTAATAAAATAAATAAATTTTTTTAAGTATTATAGTAATATAAAGATTATAGGATCAAAAATTAGAAATGTTATTAATTAGTAGATTTTATTTTTATACCTATGTGATTTCGTTATTTTTTCTAATAACAATTTAGAATGTTACATTGTAATTGTTTAGAAGAGCATACAACCTATAAGACTTAATAATTAATAATAAAATGTAATAAAATCATATTATTTTTTTTAGATAGTAAAATCCTAGCCAGTTATTAATTGCATGATTAATTTATTATCATCAGATATAAGTTATTAAAAAATAGTTATAACTTTTTTAGTATATTGTTTACAAATATTGAGTTTTGTAACTTAAAATTATGTTGCTGTATACTTTTTTTTCTAATCAAAATATTATCTTATATAACAATTATAACTTTCTTCTTATTGTATTATTTGTATTATATATTTACAGAGTGTAATAAATTCTTTAAATAAAAAATTATAATGTCTCTTATGATTTTATTTTTACTATAAAAGACATTTAAAATCTATACATACATAATAATACAATAAGTAAATAAGATGATATATGCACTAGACGTAGCAAACATTATATTATAGTTGTATAAAAAATATAAAATTAATTTTAATAAAAATATATTTTAAATATTAACAACATGAATTTAATTAATATTTACTATTTACTATTATTACAATCTATGTACAAGTAAATAATTCTATTTATTTATTATTTTTTTTTTTTTTGTGTGTATTAAGTTATTGTCTGACTTGTTCCAAAATGCCTTGACGAATTAGTGGCTCAGCTTGTGATCTTGATAACATATATTGACTATTCTTTCGTAAAATTAAAACTTCTCCACTTTCTAATTCTAATTTACCAGCATCTACTAAACTTCTTACCTAAAATATAAATACATTTAAATTATACATAAAATAATCAATTTTTCTCTACAAATTAAAATTGATAAAAATGATTATGTAACAATTTAAGTAAAAATTTATTAATAGATACATTGTGATTTTGATTTAATAAGTGTTATTTAATAATAAAATGTTCTATTATAAATATATTATATTTTCTTTAGATCTTTAAAATGATGTATGATCAAACACCTTCCGCAATTAATTTGTATATTTACTTCAGTGTAAAGCGACTTTGGAGGTTTAGTGTCTTGAGTTAAGTTGAGTCCAGTATCTGACCCTATGGTCTTCATATATGAGACTAAACTTTTACAATAATTATTGAACCACTCTATCTGAAAAAAAAAAGCTTAAAAAGTTTAGTATAATATATAACTCAATTCAAACATACCTCTGACTGTGAAAGATTTTGTCTTACATCTGATGGCAAAATAGCACCTATCTCCCATCTCATTTCTTTTAACCGTTGCAATCTAGTCCATCTAAAACATAAATTTATTTTGAACTTAATGATTCAAAATTTTAATAATTTGTAACAAATTTAACTTTACATGTATGTCATCAAACATCTTTTATTTCTTTCTATAGCTGCACGTCTTAAACGAATAGCATCCAATGGTAAATTATCTTTTTGCTTGCGCCTGAATTATTTAAATTGCCTGAGTTAATCAAAATATGATAAAAAAGTATTAAGTATTAACTTACAAAAAATTCTATAATTTCTGCATCTAATGTTTTCATCTCAGAAAGCACTTGATTGATTACATCATTCTACAAATCAATAATAAAATTATTTAAATAAATATTGTCATATTAATTTATCTATCTATTTATTAAATGTAGTATGTTTATTTAAATAAAATAAAATATATTTTAATAGTAATTAGAATTAGTAAATATTAATAATAAGTACATTGTATGGTGGTATAGTATCTTCACGAGAACGTTCCAATTCCTTCAATAATTCAATAACTTTATCACAGTACATTTTTTTTATTCTTAAAAATACAACAAGATATATTAAGTAGTATTTAAAAAAGAAAAAAATACAATAAATAATAAAATATAAAATTACTAAATCAGTCAAAATTAATATCATACACTTATTGACTGAACAATTATTTTTTTACGTAATGTATTTAATGTAATAATATTAATACATTGAAAATTTATCTTTAAGTTGTTATCATTAATGAAAAAAGCGGCAAAAATAAACGTCAAAGAGATTCTAAAATTGTCGTAACAAAAGGCGCAGGAAATTTAAAAATATTTATAATTGAATAAAATTATGGAAGGGAAATATTTTAAGATTTCTAGTCCCATCATGTGACCAAGTCCAAAGCCTTAAACGTACTGCGTATTAACAAGTTACACGCTAATACAATAACACTCTTAAGTGAATTATACGGTAATATAATTTAATATCAACAACTACTTAGTACTTATTAATGTTATGATACTGTGATTGTCTTTAAGAACAATAAAGAATATAATGTAAAATGTCATATGCCTCTTATTAGTTCCATTATCGTGTACCAGGCATGTATCTGGGACTTCATTAAGGAGGGGGAAATAAAATTCTTTTTTTAAATAATCAAAATACTCCAATTCTTTTATAATACATTTTTATCATACGTGCCGGTGTGCTCGCTTGTATTAAAAAAAAATTATTTTTATATTTTGTGCCTAATAATACATTTATTAAACAACCATCATTTTCTACAAAATTAGATTGTATGTCTTTTTTTTCATTCAGTTTAAATTATGATTACAATTTAACTGATACTTTCTTAAATTGTGATTATTAAACAAATTTATTGAATTAGTAAATTATAAAATATATATTACCTTGTAAGATAGATTGAAATACTGTCTTTGGTGAGATTGAGGGAAGGGTGATCGTCATCCACAAATACGTACTTGTCAATATATACAAAAATGATTATAGTTGTTCTATATTCTATTTATTGCTATATTAATTATATCTTTTAGGACTCTAATGTCTAATAAGTAATAAATAACAAATTATAAAAATACAGTTTATTTTGTTATCTACCTACCTATTAAAGTTAGATTTAAAAATAAATTATTCTACGAAAAAATAATAAAAAAATACATATACTATGCACATTGAACGATTACTACAATTTAATCAGAAAAAAAGAAATTATCGAACAAATGTCTAGATAAAAAACTTGAAAACAAACTTTTTTTTAATTTTTAAAAATATATCATTATATTTTGAAAAGTTAAAATCTATATAAGTAATAATGCATCATCTATAATAATTAATAAGAAATTTATTTACATTTTAACATGAAATATTTTATATAACTTATATGTAATAAGAGACGTGAAAACAAACAGGAAAGAAATAATTAAAGGAATCATACATTTAAATTATTCAAATATTCAGGTGGCGGCACTTGTTCTGTTTTAGACTTCTATGTGAATTTCCGAGAACAGCGCGAACAGGTATTAAATGTAGGAAGCTCGATGACTGATAAGCAGGTTGGAATT